GGGGTGTGCTGCCATGATGTAGAAACAGCAAAGAGGCTGCTGTGACTGGAACAGACTGAGGTGCCTTTTATGAAATGAGGCCAGACAGGGTGGTGGGAGTCAGAACCACTGGGTAGTATCAGCCATTGCCACAGTCTTGACTTGGACACTGAGTGAAGTGGAAGACACTGGATGGTCTGAGGAGAAGCAGGACGCATGCAATTTATGTTCTGATCACTCTAAGAATCAACTGAGGGAAACAAGGCCACTGTGGTAACCAGATGGGACTTAATATTGACGTGGGCCAGGTGGTCATGAAGACACAGAGGTGCATTCTGAAATCTGACAAGGTTTGCTGGTGGAATAGAAATGGGGGGAAGGGGTGAGAAATAGAGTAGTCAAGGATGATTCAGTCTTCAACTGTATCTCCAATGCTTTATTTCACTTTTAAATAATCTGCATCAAAATGTTAGCATCTGTTGAAAGAAGGAGTAGGGCAATGAGTGTCTATATATATATTATCTTGTGCCCTTTCTGAAATACAATGGATGACAAAATGGACTAAGGACATCAGATGGTGACTGAGGATTTTCTTTAGGAAAAGAGAATATGGATTAGGATTGACTACTCTGTGCCCCAGGATAATTAAAACATATCTGTACCTCCTAAATTACAGTAACAATTTGTATGTCTATTAACAGTTGACCTAATGAAGACACGTCAAAGTGCTAAAATAAACCATTTACTTCAGCCTTTGCCCTGACATTTCACAACAGAAAGGATTCTCCTGAGTCAGGTGCCAGTGGCTCAAACTTGTAATCCTAGCTACTTGGGGTGGGGGGGGGGCGTGCTAAGATTGGAAGGATTGCACTTCAAGGCCAGCCTGGGCAAAACGTTACTGAGATTCCATCTCAATGGGAAAAAAGTTAGTCGTGGTGGTTTGCACCTGTCATCCCAGTGATGAAGGAAGCATAAACTAGGATTGTGGCCCAGGCTAACCAGGGCAAAAAGCAAGACCGTATCTCCAAAATAACCAGAGCAAAAAAGACTTGGGTATGGCTCAAATGGTACAGTACCTGCCTAGAAAATGCAAAGCCCTGGGTTCAAACCCCAATACTGCCAAATAATAAAATAAAATAAAAGAGCTCCTCCCAGGTGGAACTCTTCCCACTTAAGTCTAAGTTTACAAACAGTCTCTGATACTTAATGCCACAAAGATTAAGGAAATAAATTAAATATAGTAAGTCATGGTTGATGTCCTGTATACCTTTTGGATGAATTTATTTATCTATGCGTTTCTATCAATTTTCATAGTATCTATAATATTTGCGTATCATTTATTGAGTTTAAGCTAATGGGATAAAACCTGCAAGGTTCTATGATTTGCTTAACAAGAAAACACACAGAAAGCTACTGAAAAATTCATATCTTGTTTCTAAGGTCTTGGGGCAAAATTTTTCTCATTTTTTAAAACAGGAGTAGAGTCAAAATGCACTGAGACATCTATGTTCTTCACATTCTCTCTCCAATGACACCAGGTGACCTTTGTTTCATCAGCTGCTTCCTGCTAATATCCTTTCAGGACCAGTCAACACATCAATGCTAGCAGTATTTACAGTTTGTAAAGAAATCTCAATACACTATATTCCTGGAAAACGTATGAAATTACCTGGCAGTGTGTATAATAAACCTTACATATTTTGAGATATAAACCTTAGAATTCAAGTTTAATACAAAAAACTAACAAAAAAAGACTTCTCCTTTCATACAGTAATAAAGCAAGGAGTGGTGTTTGAGAAATTCCACAGCAAGATTCCCACCCCTGGGGCTGAGATAAGGCATGTAATGAACTCCCTCCAAAGAAAACCACCAAACCACACTACAAAAACCACCACGTCTAGAATCTTAGTCATTTTTAATTACAAAAATAAACACATTGCACTCTCATAAGATGGAAAGGGAGACCAATAAATAAAGCCACATCTGAGTTACCATCATCAACACTTGGAAGATTATTCCCTAGAATTGTAATTCACCGAATGCTTTAACATCAAGACTGTGTTGACAGTCACAGTCCAACAAGGCCCCCAAAACTCACCAAAAGGCATGAGAAGGATGGATTTTTTTGGAGAGACAAGGAGAAAGTGGGAATGGCAGGAAAGTGTGGATATGGTTATGCAGAAAAAATAAAGCATCTGATTTGGGGTCATAAGACTGGTTTTAAATCAACTTCTGCCTCAGGATTTCGAGTATCATTTAACACAAGTGAGCCTCAATTTCCCCAGATAGAAAATGACTGAAGTTAAAACAAGAGGATAATCTCTAAGATTCCTTTCAGTTACTGAAAAAAAAAGCCTACTTTTAAATGTATATACTTATTTTTACATAGATAAAACATGTATTTATATCAAAAAATTTAAAACAAGATAAAAATAATAGTCATCCCTTAGTATCTGGGGATTGAATCCATACCCCCATACCCAAATCCACAGGTGCTCAAGTATCTTATATAAAATGGCATATATTTGCCTAGAACCTACACGCATCCTGATGTAAGCTTTCAATCTCCTCTAGATTATCTCTAATACCCCATCTATATTCCACACCGTTGTGCCCACCTGCTCTCTCACAGCAAAGTCTGGATCTTTGTTTCTCTACACTCATCAAACTGAGTGCTTCTTTTCTTTCTACTTGAACTTCTACCTCATCTGATAGACACATAGCACGTCAACATGATTTTTACCATATTTCTTTCACTATGATGAGTTTGCCTATGAGCCACTGTGTTTCCTTTATTGTATATTGGTCTATTCATATTCCTTATTTATCTTTCTATAAGCTGACAGTCTTTTTCTTACTGGTTTATAGGTAAAAAATTCTACTATCTCAAGGACATAGACACATGAGCACCGGCAACCCCTGCAGATGACTGTAACTCTTGAGCTAGTGATATTTATCACTCCTTGAATGCTTTAAGGGTTTAAAAAGTTACCGTTGAGATTTTCTTATTGGCAGGCACTAATGATTTGCTCAATATCCTACAAATAACCTATCATATCCATGAAGAAACATTCTCTTCCTTCAAGATTTTCCAAAAGGCATGGATGGAACAGTAAACAGGCTGCATGAAAATAATTTTACCTCTTCAAAAATAACAAATATTTGGGGTGATAGAGGAAAAAATGGGATTGTAGATAATTATTAGGTATGAAAAGCTTAAGATATAAAAATATTTAACTTTGTTAATATATGTGTGCAACTCCTCCCCCTACATGTTTCCATGTTTAATATAAAAGGAGTTTAATACCACAAAATTACAAGTATCTAAATAGGCACACATTTATTTTCCTAGCAAATATTCAACTATATCAACAATCTATTTTCATATAGTTCATAGATATGAATTTAAAAACTTTTATGACAGTGACAGCTGTGAAGCCTCTGCCACAATTGGACTGATAAGCAGCCAAAACGCTGATATGAATATTTTTCCCTTTTGAATTTTTAAGTAACTCCAATTACATACAAGAAATGTGCAAAATCTAACCAAGAAGCATTTTAGTTATCTAGAAAAAGTTTTCCCTCAATGACATGGGCCCCATCCCATACATATCTTATTGCAGAAATTAGAAGGAACAAAGATGGCCCTAGGAACACTCAAACTTGGTGGGTGAGCAGAAAAGGCCTTCCTACCAATAGATCGTGGGTAACAACAAACCTGTGCAATCATATTAAAGAATTGCAAAAATACTTAGACTTTTATCATTTCTTAGATTCTTCAGGGTGCCTAGAGACTAGTAGAGATGTTCCTATTGATGGTCTGAAAATGGAAGCACAATGAACTAGCTCAGGTCACAAGACTGGTGAGTAACAAAATGGAAACACATACAGAGTGCCCATGGACTGGAGTCCTTTCCGTCATCAGGCAGAGACCCAGAGGCCAGGAAGCACGATCCATGGGACCCTGGGCACATTACACAAACTCTATGTGACTAAGTTTCCCATAGCATTATTTTGAGAACTAAAAGAGTTACATCCATAACACAATGACAGGTCAATGGTGTTACATGAAAACTCACTGTAGTGTCAAAAGACCGTGTGCCGTGATGACTCAACTTTAATCTGAAAAGTCAACAGGTGAAATAGAAACAGGAAAAAGCATGTCCTCCACAGGACAAGTATGGGGGAGAAATGAAGACAGAAGCTCAGCTATAGAGAAGCTAGGCACAGCACAAACAAATGATGCACACAGCACAGGCCAGTCTTATGCAGAAGAATATCCTAACTGAAGAGCTCAGTACAAAGGTTACCACAAAAGCCCCTTTAATTTATATTAAAGTCAGTTAAAGTCTACCCCCCCATAAGCTTATTTTTCTAATGTTTTTCCAATTTTTTTCTTCTGCTGTTCCCTTTATTTTCATTTGACTGTTATCATCCCTATATAAACTTTAGACCTGTAGGGAACAACAAACCACGTTACTGAACAACAAGGGTGTTACTTATTAAGCATGTGATTCTCGGATTACAATCTAAAATGACTTTAATGTACCCTGGCTCCCAAGTGAATTGTGGTAATGCCTTATGGCATCAAATTGCTAGATACCTGAGAGCAACAGGACCCTGGGGAAAATCTGACCTGCTAGAAATAAAACCTAAAGAAATGCATTATTAGCATTTTGTTGCATTTCTAAAGCCACTTTCAGACATTTTCAAGCCTTTAACCTTAATCACTTGACAACAATGCTGCCTTTATCACTATAAAACAGAAGCACAGCTACCAATAACACAGTAACTGGTAGAAGAAGAGAGGTAGACAGAAATGGGCTAAGAAGCCAGCATCACACACCTCACCTCCCAGGGGACAGGGCTGTAGTTGACACCTTCATCAAGCTAACTAAGAAAAACACACTACTTCATTCATCTCAGGTCCTCACAACACAGGGTTCTCCAGCCGAACAAAAATGACAGCAAGGCACCATCCTAAATCACTCGAATTCCGCAAGTTTTCACAGAACACCAACCTTTAGGAGGAGTGAGACTGACTCCATTTTTAAGGCACCACTGTACTGGCAATATTCCCAAAGAATCCGCATGGCACAGCATTGAGAGTTTACTAGGTTCTGGTCTTAGGTCATCAATAGTCACTTGAAAAAAATGATTGTTAAAAACCTGAAAGAAGAAAAATATAAACCCAAAGTTAATTCCTCAGTATTACATACATAATACTGGCAGAGGTTCTAAAGACAGTCAATATAGTTCATCAAATTGGATGATTTGGAACACAAATCAGCCTTTCAATGCATATCACTAAATTAGTCCAGTAGCTAAAAAGGTAGAATTGATCATTATGGTCATGTTAACAAAAAGATAAGCAAACAATAAGAATACACAGAAGACAGAAAATTTAAAAACAAAATCAAAGAGTCAAGAGAAGTAAACCAATGGCAATAGATAGAAGAAAAATAAACTAATGAAATAAGGCAAATAAACTCCAAATTAGACAAAAGCTAAGATGGACAATGGAAGGCCACCAGTGGTTCCCCAGTGTCTACAGAGGGCCCCATACTCCTCCCACCAGTCATTTGAAGCCCTCCAAGATCTGGAGTGGGAGACTGCTAGCCTTATCCCACATCACACGTCTCCAAATAGCCCCTTCTGTACCCCAAGAGGAGACCAAGAAGTCATTCCTGTGACAGCTGGCCTTCCTCAATGTTCTCACAGACTACACACCAGGACTACCTTGAACTACCTTGCAAGTGCAGTTTTGACTCACTACATTCTCAGGTGCATCACAGATGCCAAGGGCACTGGTCTGGCTGGAAGAATGGGCCCCTGCTCTGTGCTTGTAAAGCACAGCGCAAACCTCTGTACTGAAAATCTTCCTTCCTCTGTGTACTGATAACACACCTGTCTCCACCTATGGATCATGTGTTCTTTGAGGACAGTGGCCTCTGTTATTCATCAAAGTATTTCCACATGCATAGAAAATGTTTTGTTGGCAGTAGTCGACAAACATCCAGGGAAGATAAGAAGCATCAAGGATGAAAAAGGAACAAGGCAAGTTGATAAACCAAGCAGAAGGCAAAAATCAGATGGTCCTCAGTGCCTAATGTAAAGAACCATGCAGGTAAAACATGCCAGAAAAAAAATTAACCTTCCTAACTCAGCAGACATAAACCTTTCTTAGGAAACCTTAACATTTTACTAAGCTATGACATCCAGCTTCTACATTTATGAAGTATTTTCTGGAATCGATCTACTTCAACATTAAGGAGAAGGAGAATTTTCTGTACTTCTATATCTACATTTCAGCAAATAGTTTTGCCCAAGGTTTGTCTTTGAAAGTTGACTATAAGGAGTAAAGGGTCAAACGTGCCCAGACTTCCAACCACATTTAAAATTGCATCCTCCCTCCACCCCCGATGCTCCATTAGTCCCCTCCTGTTGTACGTTCTCTCCTTAGCATTTGACATGAAATACACTATATTTATTTGCTCTATTTTGCTTATTGTATCTCCCTCTCCATTAAAATGTAAACCCTGTAATAACAGGGACTTTGTCTATGTCTCACTGTCTGGAACAATCTGTGAATGCACAGTAATTTGCAAAATTCTGTGATCTCTTCTATCACACACATACACACATACTGCACATGCTAAAAACTAAGTCATACTGGTGGCAGCTTATCTAAGTGGCATGGGACCCTGTACTGGCACTGAACTCCACTAAAATGCATGTTCATGTGGGCACGCTTCAGAGGAAAAGCTTAGTACATTTCATCAGACCCATCCATCAGAGTTCATGTCAAGAGTCACTGCTTTAGGCTCCAGCCAGTCCAGAGCCCACAGGTCTCAGAACTGAAGCTCAAAGCAGTTAAACTCAACCAATTTGTCTCAGAACTGGTACTAATAGAAATAGAAACAGAACTAGAAATGAATAGAGCCTCTGACCTCAAATTACAGCATCTTTTTTCTAGCCAATACAAGACATTTCACTTACACAGATGACGTTATTGTTATGACCATCGTCATCTGTCAATCTCACTGGTGTGGAACACCAAAAACAAAATCCTACTGTACTTCTAAAGATTTGCCACTTAATACTGCATCCACTACATGCTTGTGTGGATTTGTGTCTATTTGTTTTAAGATTATTTCTTCAACAGTTGTGCCACAACGAAAAACCCCAAGAGGGAAAAAGAAAATTCCCATTGTGATAAGTAAAGACAGCACAGTGTGCTGTATTCTCAAGACAACATTCTAAACCTCTTCCCAGTGCTTAGTGAAATTCATTTAATTATAAATATCTTCTACAATAAGAACATTCCAATTTCTCACTGCATAAAGAGGATCCTGGAATCTGGGGAGGGGCCTCCTCTGGTTCTAAGAGACAGAAGCACATTCTAACTCATGCATATGCAACAGGTGGGCAGTAAGAGAAGAGGCTATCTATGAAATAGAAAGGCTTAAGTATTTTATCTTCGGTGCAAAAGGCAAGAAAAAATAAAATGAAATCGTAGTTTAAAAATCATTGAAAGTAGTTCTCTATCCCCACAATAAGATCTCTTTAAAGAGAAAATTTATTGTGAAAAACCCAACATTGTCTTGAAAGTCTATCCAACTAAATAATGATATTTGAAACTAATTATTATTTGTATGCTCATTTTAACATTATACATCGAAATTACTTAAAGGTATAAAACTGTGAGAGAGGTAACTCCTGACAGGCACATCAACTCTGTTGAGTTTATTTTCTAAAGACCAAGGGAAACTGATATCATAGCCTTTCAGAATGAGGACAGTGAGCTCTGTACCGAGAAAAGTGGGCAGCTGACATTGCCACATCACCTGTTACTAGAACAAAGGAAAGTATGGCCAGATTTCAGAAAGGTGCAACTCTCCAGTCTTAGAGAAATTTGTGTCACGTACTATAAAACAGGAAAGAACCCACCAAACCACTTCCAACAGAAAGGTTTTTAATGATCAACAAGAGAACCTGAGTTTTAATCCCAAGGTTGCCAAAAAAAGTGTAAGTCCACATTTTTCTTTAAATAAATTGATTTAACAGTTACAAAAATAATTTATGTTCACTAAAGGAAAAACATTTAGAAAAGAAAATAGTACCTCATGATTATGGCCATTATATTTACATTATTACCAGTAAATTTCTCAAATTCTACCAAATCATAAGGGGGAAAAAAAAAGAAATCATGATTTAAATATGTCAAACATACACCACTGCAAGACAAAATCTAGTCTGAGGAAAGAAATTTAAATTAATTGACTTTTGAATCTTTAATTGAGTTACTTGTCTGAAATGTACAAAAGGCCACTAGCTAACCCACACATTGGCTAAGAAGGCAATGTATGTCAATTTCTCCCGGCATTTCTAAGAGAATATTTAATTTTACCATAGGTGGTATCATGCAGAAGAGATGTTATAATCTTAAAAGACTACCAGAACATCATTAAAACACCTTTACCCAAAAAGGTAATTTCATTTTGAATCAGCAAATCTCTGAAGCATAACTTTTCCTTCAGTCAATGAAAGCAGATGAGCAAAGGAGACAGGAATCCTAGCTTATGGGGAGGTGAGAATTTGCTTTCCTCCAATTTCAGGGACTTTGTAAATATGAATAGATCATATTCACCACCATCCATGCATGAGGAACAACTTATTCTTGTAATGATTGTAACATGCAATTTTCCAGTAGACAACTGTGGGAAGAAGGAAACTCCATCCCGTACATTCCCAGAGGAGGCACCTGGCTAGACTCAGCGACCATTGGCAAGAAAAAGCTTAGTATACAAGCTTGCACTGGAGAGGCAGCAAGCTCCCTGTGGTGGTTTTGGTGTTGCTGTGTACCCTTGTGCAGTATATTTCATCTATTTGGCTCTGAGCTGAAAGACTTGTTTGTTTCACCCTGGGCGTCAGGGTAAAGGAGCAAAGAAGAAAACCCACCTTAGTCACAGATGCAGGACAGATGTGAAAGGGCTCACTCATATTTACTGTTTCTAGCTTCATCCCAACTGTGAAGAAATGGCTTCTCAAATCTGCATGATCCTGCAGGAAGAAAGAGGAAATACTGAAGGCGATGGCATTGTGAATTCACCATTCACATTGTGGAAGCTGTCCTGGAGCACTTTCTCAGGCAACTGAACGACAGCTGATGAAAATAATTAACGCTCCCCATTTCAAATCTCTAATTATTGTAAGATACTGTGGATTTAATTATCTTCTGCAGGCTAAATTGCTTTTCCAAGGGAGAGGCAAAAAGCCTTTGTGGCCATAGGTAAATGTACACTAAACAAAAAACCTCACATTACATTGCTTTGCTCTTCCTAGGTGCTCACCGCTGAAGTAATGGAGGCCATCAGTCAGTCATCTTAAACACAGCAGGGATATCTTCAAAAAACAGAAACATGGCCTCTTGCCACCAGAGTTCCATCACAGGGCATAGTATGCACTTTCTGAGTTATAGTCCGCCCCACCTCCTGTGCTCTTCACTGGTTTACTGTTAGTGATCCATGATCTTGGAGATGTGTGCACATGAGAATCCAAGGCCACCTTGTGCACAATCAGAATCTCACTCCTGCTCCATAAGAAGAGTGAAACCCCCTTTATAGTAAGTGTCTTGGCAGTTTTATAACCTGCTCATGGCAACCTGATATGTAAATACTGGGGCTTCCCTGTCTCCTCAAGAAAACAAATTTCAATATCCACTCCAGGTCTGCAGCAAAAGATGACGGTGGCTAGACTTTGGATGCCAGAATTTATCTTGCTGAAATGGAGGTCACCTCATAACTCATACTCTGTATAAGTAGTAGAGGATAAATAAATGTATTTGCAGTGTGTCCCTGAGGAAATAACAATTGCAAACAAATCTTGCTATACATCAATTGAGTGTGAAATAAAAAATATCTGGAGACCTACTGCTTTCTTTTATTTGCAAATCTAAGTGGGTTTTTAGTTAATTCAATGATGCCATTCTAGATCCAACTCTAAAGATCAGACAAAGCTCACTCAGCTGTGTCTGTTCCCCCTACCGTATCTGACAGGAGACCAGAGAAAAGGATCTGCATAAAAATTCTCCACTGGAGGGTGGGAGGAGAGGGGAGGTGGCCCAAATAATGTATACACATGTAAGTAAATGTAAAAACGATAAAATAAAATTTTAAAAAATTCTCCCCTGCACCCCTACTTTGCCAAAGGGACAGAATGTAAATGCCTATAAAACCACAAGGATCCTTTCACTTTTCATGTCCCCACAGCAGTCTGTAAAGGTCTCTGCTACACAAAGATGCACAATACATGTGATCTGAGAGAAGCCATTAGTGCCACATCCAAGGCTAGTGAGAGAAAGAAAGGATGCAGGCAAAGATGAGAAAAGTGAATCAAAGGATTTAACTCATTCTAATACTTTATTAATTCCTTAAGAACTTACAATTAACACTCTATAAAATTATATGCATAAGGAAAAGCACGAGGAAATATTTTTAGGTGCAGCCAATGACTTTCATTGTTGAAGCTAAACCTTCATAAATTCCTTAAGAACTTACAATCAACATTTATGAAAAATATATACATGATGTGAGAGATGACTTTTAAAAGCACTTACTTTTAAAGATGACTGGGGAATCTGGGTCAGAAAAGGAAAATAATTAAAAGCAATAGTATAGGGAGTTAAGCATATTAACACAGAATGACAAAAGCAGGGCTATGAACTACAGGTGCTGGGGCATATGAACTAAATGCAAAATGACTAATTGACACTGGAACTAAAAGATCAAAAGTCAATGCTCCTGTCAGACATCAGTGTCCCAAATACCTACCAGTGGAAACTGAATTACATTAGTGCATTTTGCACAAAACCTTTATTCTGAAATTATAATATAACACTTTCTCTGAATGCACTCAAGAAGTTTAAGCCAAATGCAATAGTTTCTCCAAAATCCTTCTGCTTTCCTCTCTGCCATGGGATGTCCTTCCTTGCTGCTTAATCCCTCTCTCCGTGCACAGCTGCAAGGAAAAACCTACTTGAGATTGGCTCACCAACCACAGAAAATGGTCGCCTCTCTTTGAATGCCTTATCTCCAGAGCTCTCAGGCAAATTCCCATCTCTCACTTGTTTCAGCTGTAGTGAAGGCCAAACAGCAATCTGGACTTCTGGTCTACCCGTTGTCTTAACCCCTCAAACTTCAGCTTGTGTGTCCTCTCTGCCTCATATAATTTTGCTCCAACCTTTGCTCTCTGAGTACAGTCAACTTTCCAAGTAGAACTAACACACAACCCTAAGCCCTTTCTATATCCCAGGCTCTCAGTTTGACCTTGATCACTGACTTGAAGTCTTTAGCTAAGTCCACTATTCACTCTACACATCCAATGTGCCAAGTCCTAGCAGTAGGTCTCTCAATCACAGCTGCTGACGCTGTGCTGAAAAGCTCTGTGGCCTCAGGGACCCTGCACTAGGAGTTATCATGTCTGCTGTGTGCCGGAGACCAGGCAATGGCTGCTTGTCCTAAGAAATGAAGCATATGCTAAGCACTCCTCAGATAAGCTCTCCCCTCAGGGCTGTGGCCTGTGTTATAGGTGCTTATCACCCACGACTTCAAAGCACACTGCATCATCACTAGGTTAAGGAGGGATCATGTCATGTGTCATGTCATGTTTCCACCCATGTGCTCGTTTGTCAATCACTGAACTTTTCTCTTTGCTCATCCACAAAAATGAGCACAGATGTCAGAACCAAGTTTGGTTCATATGGTGAACAAAAGTTGAAAGGGCACATTAAAATGTTTTCAGCAATTTCAAAACAATGCTTAGGGAACACTATCCAAGGATTTAGAAGCTGGTTTCCCCTTTGTCAGTCATGGCTCAGATCTCCTATACCTTTAACCTTTCTACTACACTTCAATTTTGTGGCAAATATATATATTTGATCTCTGTCCCCAATTCCTGGCATATAGCTCCTATATCCCTTGGAATTTCATGGTAACAAGAGCATCACTGGTGAGGGGGACGGGGCTCTCTTGGCAGGCCTCTAGACAGCTTTAGGATGAGGGCTTCTCACCAGAAAGATCAAGCCACAAATAAAGGATTGCAACATTTACCACCCCACACCCCTACCACTGTGGACGAAGAGGGGCTTGAGATTGAGTGAAGCACCAGTTGACAATTATTTAATCAACCATACTTGCATAACAAAGTCCCAGAAAAGCACTAAATGATGGGATTCAGAGAGCTTTTCAATTGTCGAACATATCCTTGTTCTGGAAGGATGGCATACTCCCAACTCCATGAGAACAGAAGCTGCTGCCCTTGGTATCCTTCCAGGTCTCTCACCAGGTACCTCTTTCATCTGGCTACTCATTTCTATCTTTTACAGTATCCTTCATAATAATCCAGTGATCATGAGTAAATGTTTTCTTGGAGATTAGTGAGCTATTCCTTGCAAATTATCAACTTCAAGGAAGGGGTCTTGGGAGCCCTCATGTATAGCCATCATAAAGGAGTTTGGGGGCCAAGTGGGGCATGCCTGTAATCCCAGCTATTCAGGAAGCAGAAGCAGGAAGAGCACTGTCTGAGGTCAGCCTGGGCAAAAGCTTGAGATCCTTTCTGAAAGACTAAAAACAAAATTCCTGGGACATGGCTCAAATGATAAAGAGCTGTGCAAAGCTGGAGTTTGCTTCCCAGTACTGGCAGCTCAGGACTTTGAGGCTGATGTCTAAAGTAGGGCAGGCTTGAGGGACTGGGAGCTTCACCTGTGAGATCTGTATTACATTGAGATAGCGAATGTCAGATATGAATGAAACTTCAGGACTCCTACTTGGTATCTAGAGATTTTCTAAATTGACCAGTGTTGAAAAAACCCACATGTAATATTAGAAATGTTGTAAGTTACAAATAACCAAAACTCTTACAGAAATGCATCTGGTTTTATTCCAAATGATGCAAAGCCCTTAAACCCTTTCCTAAAACACTGAAGAGAAGCCAGACAATTTGAAAGGTAGCAGCATCCAAATATAGGTATTTATAGTTTGACTTTGAATATATACAGGTATTTATACTATTAAACTTGAACTTTAAATTTCAGAAATGGATCTGGAAACTATAATGTACATTCTTAAAATTTCCAGCCCTTACTTCTACTTTCCTAAGATGACTTTTTAATCAGCATCCAAAGTAATAAGAAAAGAAAATCCTTCTATGATCATATAGAAATTCCACCAGTAAGTCAAAATCTTTAAGAAAGACACAAAATGATTAAGGGTTTGACTAAATCTGCTCCTCTAATGTCTCTGCTATGAATGATGATATCAGAAACTTTATTGTAAAAGCAGAACAATATTTTCTAAAGGGCCTTGCCATTTAAACGTCTGGCCGCTGGATAACTTTAAAAAAAACTGAAAGACACTCATGTAGATATGCAATACACTCTGGTGAATGCCAGACTCTTGTTTGTAATATGTGGTTCATCCAAGAAAGAACTCAATGAATATTTATTGAATTAAATTGAAGGACAAACAGAAACTAGGTGCTTTCTTGACATCTATTCCAATTCTTTTATTCACTAGAAAGCTCTGAGAACCACACATTAGATGAAATATACACACATACACACAGAATACACACACACACACGCATACACACACATACACACACACACACACACACATACACACCCCTAAAAGAAAAAAAAAACCCTCTAAAACCCTACATTCGTCAAAGAGAAAAGGAAGACAAAGATCAACTAAGAGAAGAAACAGGCTTATAAGAAATTTCAGAACATATTCTTTTACTTCTCAGCTATAAAAACTGTATCACTTTGATCAGGGTAGTCAAAGGATTTACAGAAGTGAGTCTTAATTTGAAATATGAAAAGGTTGCAACTCAGAATGATAAAGAGAAGATTCTGGAGAGGCAGAGGTGGCACAGTAAATGCAATCAGAGAGTATGAGACTTACATATGGGATGGAAGCCTCTGAGTACGCTGTAAAAGGCAAAGATGTAATTTGACACTCCTAGGAAATATCAAGCTTTTATGGTAATTGAAGAATTCAACA